AGCTATATTTGATCACAGAAATTTATACGGTGACTTTTGGTCAGCTATTATCTTTCAGCCCACCTCGCCCCACATCACAAAATTGTTGCTGTCCTGAGATATTAAGAGAGAGAGTATCATGCACATCACTTTGAACTCTTGAAGAATCTAATGAATAAGAATTTAAAAACCTGATATATCATCTATCTATCTATCTATCTATCTATCTATCTATCTATCTATCTATCTATCTATCTATCTATATCTATCTATCATTTGCTATTTTAACCCACTGGATTCAGTTGTTGAGTTTGTATCTGTTGCACTACTAATAAAGACAAAGCAGTTCATCTAGACTCCTATATGCTTAAATAGCAATGCAAATGATACTATAGGATTAATATAGAATAAGAATCCTTTTAGTTTGTTATTGACAATTATTATAAAATGGCTTTTAGGATACAGTGGCTTTCTATTAATTCAAACTGAAATTATCATGTTGAATTCTATTAAGGGAGAGGTTCTGAACCCATGGTTCCAAGGCTAAATACATTTTTTTGTTTTGGTTTTCTTTATCCTCTTATAAAAGGACCTAAAAATCTCACAAATCAGAATATCAGGGTCCCCCCCTCACTTTTTAACAGAAATCACTTACAAATTGAGAAGTTCACATGAAGGACATGATAACACTGGTCATTTCATTAATTTATGATGACATAATATCTTTAAAGAAGAAAATTTCAATTGGCTGTCATGACTAATACATACTAATCCTGTCACTTTTTATACTGTATACCAAATCCTTTATTTAAAGCCACATAAGCTAATGTCCATATTTATACTTTGGGGCAGTAAGTTCCACAAATTGTTTATGTATTGCAAGAGGAAGTATTACCGTTTGTTTTTTCTCCAGTCCTCCTAATCAAATTAATGTTAAGCAGTGCATGGTTAGAATCATGATTCATCCTGGATAATGTAAAATAATAAAGAGAAAGTATCTTAGTCATGCACAGAAGGTTTTCACTCGTAATGCAACACAATAGTAGTCTATGCATGCCTGGATTAGAAAGCAGGCATTGGCAAGTTGAAGGACTCCAGATATTGTTGAGTTTAGCACCTTTATTATTTTTTAGGAAATAACAAATAATAATATTGCTGAAATGACTATTACCAATATTGAATTTATACCACCATGAGAAACATTTTCAAAAATTCTAAGGAGGAAATGGAACTTGCTGCATTTATTTAGATTCTGTATTAATATAGATTCTACATTCATCACTATTGCTACAATCGTGTGGAAAAAAACCCCCATAAGACTACAAACTTTCAATGGGCAACATGTGACATTTCTAAGAAGGAAAAACGTGGATTGCCAAAGACCATTTGAAAAGTATTTGGGCAAGCAAAAGTTAACGAGGACTCAAAGCTTGATTCAGAACAACACCCAATATAGAGATTTGAAATGAGAGAGGGGAAAAAATTCTATATTGCTATATATAAATTCTGTTGACGCATGTGAAATTTCAAGGTGTGCAAAAAGTAAACCCTATTTTGCAATAACAGTCTGTAAATTGAGCCTGTTTGCAGACATTATCTTAGAATGGCTTCTTGGATGCAGGAATATTTGTTTACCTTGGACTGATTAATAAGCAAGACAGGGAAGGAAGGGACTGATTGGTGAGATTTACATGATTTTTCTATTCTTAAGGACTAGTAATTGGTATTTGATTGGAAGCTAAGAATCTCTGGATGTTAATATGCACCAAGATAGTTGCTTATGCTACCCTTTCAAATATACAGTTCTAATTATTATAATCTGGGATATACTATTTTTTTGGCAAGTGGCACATTTCTCAGGTAGGGACTTAAATAGATGCCAGTTTAAGGGGAAAAAACAGTAGCATTTGTTAAAATCTAACTACAAGAACAAGCAAGCAACAGAAGTAACCAAGGCAGGACTGTATTTTTGGATGATGCCTTCATCATATTAGCATAATTCAAGTTTCAGTGGGAAAGGGAGTAGGATGAATTCACAAAAAATGCAAACCATCTTCAAAGAAAAAGATGACTAGCTTTCCAGGGAAGCCAATTTTTCAAATATGTCATCCCCACTTGACAAGCTGTGATGGATTTCGTTCATCTGTCAGCATTTCACATCAAATTAACATTCTTGATTCTTGAAACCTGATGTTTCTGCCATTTCAATTCCTGGTTTCCACCATGAGATTAGGAGTGTTGCTTCTTTCCATTGTGAATAAGGCACCCTCATTGTGTTTCTTCTGTGCCTCATTTTCATGCTCCAGCTTTTTCCTATTCTATAATTCCAGTGATTAAAGAAAGATCTTATTGCCTTTTCTTCTTAGCTTCAGTTCACTCTAGCAATCTGAAGCATTCACTCTGATGGTCCATCAGAGATCAGTGATGGATTTTCAGCATTTCTTTCAAAACACATTACAGATATTCATTGGTGTACAAGGTCTGGCAATGTGAGTAATAAAAATGTTTCTTATCTTGGTAGAAAACTAGATGGGTTCCTCTATGACCGATAAAGCTTCTCACACACAAGCACACAAATACAGAAGAGAAGCATCTGTGTTATAGCTGCATTAAAAATGGGAGTCCACTGTTAACATGTATCATCTCTTCAACAATTCTTGCATATCTTGGTACTTTTTCCCCCTTCTGGGAAAGTACATCTATTTCCTAAATCCTAAGAAAGAAATGTTAAGATTCACTATAGAACTATAATTGACTGGGGGGAAATATGTTTTTTAAATCCTACAGGATCCATGTGTTGACAATCATACATATTTACACCACCGGAATGTTTGGCCATGTGCAATCAATGTATGTATGTATGTATGTATGAATGTACGTACGTACATAGGTACGTACGTACATACATACATACATATACTCTGATTCATATAGCTATATGGATATCTTCCTCCAGATTCTGATATCCAATGTTTTTTGGGAAAAAAATGGTTCCTCATTTGCCTAGTGGCAGTAGCAGCTGGGTGCTCAAACAGGCATCTGGACTTCATCATAGACATCTTGGCCTTCTGTCTCATCAAAAGTCACCTCAGCATCATCAGCATCCAACTGGAAAGTAATGAGAGAAGCACATTGAGAAGCTAAGTGTGGTTAAGGAAACAGTGCTGTATGTAAACCTTGAAAATCCTGATTTTTTTTTTCATTTGCCAAGGATTAAGTAGTTTCAAATAGTCATTACATATGTAGTCAGCTTATATAGAATCAGATAATAATTAATAAGTTAGTACTATTTACTTCATTGGTGTGCAATCTTTAGCACTACATTTGTTAAGAGCTGCTTTCTCCAAGCCTTGGAGGTGCTTTCAGTGGCTCTCCAAAAGTTACTAACAAAGTTCAATATTCAATAAAACACTGAAAAATGAAATGAAAAATATCAACTATACGGGGAACAGCTGTGATAACTGCAGTTAATTATATTTTACTTTTAATTTTGAATCAATGAAACCTAATTTATATTTGATACTGCCTTCACTTTCTTCATCCTGGCTTTATCTACTTTGAAAAATATTGCCTCTGACATTCCACCTAAAGATTAGATAGGGAACTAGAGATTTAAAAAATGGCAACTCTCCAAAAGACAGAGGTCTCAACCCTTCTGTTGAATTCCTTTTAAGCTGGAGATATCAGGACTGAATTTTAAAACACATGATTCTCTGGTGAGTATTTAAATCATGAGAAAAAAATATATTCAAGTGGATTCTAAAAGTTGACAGGAACTTAATAGCACATCTAATGGTGCTAATTATCACTTTCAAAGCCCTACATGGCTTGGGACCAGATTATTTGAAGGACTGTCTTTTCCCGGTCACATCTACCCACCCCAACTGAGCGAAGAGGCAAGGAATGTTATAGATCCCTTCTTCTAAGAAGTTCCAGCATCTTGCATGATCAAACAGAAGGGACTTCTCCATGATGGCTTTTATCCTATGACACATCATCCCTGCAAACATAAAATTACACCCCCCCCCCCCATTGTGGCACTCTTTCACAAGTCCTCAAAGATGTGGCTTTGCCAATGAGCCCATTAAATTGCTCATTTAATTGTTGTTGCTGGAGAGTGGAAAGTTATTGTTTTTTTATTGTTTTGTATTGAGCTTTTATTCTTGTAAGTGACACTTGGAGTCACTGAGAGTGAGGTGGGCAGCCATCTATATTTTCTTAAACAAACGAACAAACAATGTTGTTATTTCACCAATTCATATATACCATATTTTTGGTCTATAAGACACACTCCCTCCCCCCCCCCCAAAAGTAGGTAGAAATATCTGTGCGTCTTATAGCCCTGTTTTTGGTATCCCAAAATCCCCGCCCGCATCCCGTTTCCCCACAAAATGTGCCCGCTTTTGGCAAAAATGGGATGTGTGAAGGGTTTGGGAAGCCTGAAGAGCGCTCCTGGGGGTTTGGAAGGCCAAAAATGGACCTGTTTTTCACAAAAATGGATCTGTTTTTGGCAAAAACAGGACACACAGAGGTTTTGGGAGGCCTGCAGAGTGCTCCTGGGGGCTGGGGAGGGCAAAAACGGGATGCAGGGAGGGGTTGGGAGGCCAAAAATGGGCCGTTTTTCACAAAAACGGGATGTGCAGAAGGTTTGGAAGGCCTGCAGAGTGCTCCTGGGGGCTGGGGAGGGCAAAAACGGGATGCAGGGAGGGGTTGGGAGGCCAAAAATGGGCCGTTTTTCACAAAAACGGGATGTGCAGAGGGTTTGGAAGGCCTGCAGATTGCTCCTGGGAGTCGGAGAGGGCAAAAACCAGACGCTCAAAGGCCAAAAATTATTATTTTATCTTGTTTTCCTCTTTGAATTTAGGTGCATCTTATAGTCCAAAAAATATGGGTATTCAACTTTCCTATATGGTTCCTTATCCTTATGTTGTGGTGCATCCTCATTATTAGTGATGAACTGAAGTGCACAGAAATAAAATAACCACAGACCAAAATAATGCAAATTCTTTGTGTTCCCTCAGACACATCAAATTTTGGATCCAGATGCAAAAGGAGCTTTGGGCCCAAATTAATTCAGAGCTGCCAGATATGGAAGTGAGTATGTTTCCTCAATCATGCCATTCCACCATGACTAACAAAAACAGTGAGGGTTTACATGCACTATGTAGTAATTTGGGGAAAACTAAGGACATAATCTTAGAGACAATTTTGCTAGACATTAAAATTCAATAAAATTAAAAGGAGACACATCCAGTGACAGATAATGCTAATGGAACACCCAAGCTGATGAACATGCTGCTAGTAGACCTGTTCCAATACAATATGTATTGTAGGAACTATAGCAGCAGAGGAGTAGATTAGGATGTATTTTTATTTATTTTTTATATTGCAGCACCACCACCACATCCCAACCTATAATATGGGTTCACATTATACATGAAAATTTTTCATCAGGTTCAGTATGAGGGAAAAACATAATGACCTCTGCTTTTACTCTGCTTCATAGAAAAAAAGATTCATTCACCTTGCATTATATCTATACAGAAAGACAGGCTGTTCTTGACTTTCTCATTCACACACATCTATAAGCATCCAAGGTGACAAGTTGTATAGACCCAACAGATAAATCAATTGGTCTTGTACTTCAACGCTTTTTCTCAGAGATAAAAAAAAATCCATTCCACCTTGGCATCAGTAGTTACCAAAATGGATGTGGCTACACCTCATGAGATTGTCCTCTAGCTTGCATGCTTTGACAAGTTATTCTTATTGGTGCCATGAAAATTATTGGTGTCATGAAATCTTCTGGAATGACTACAAGATAAGCTGTGCGAAACTGTCTATCTCAGATGCTAATAAAAAAAGAGCTTCCACTATGTCATAAGTGCCACATTTTGAGAGACAGCACATGCACAGTAGTGACACCCCTTGCATGTTTCTGCAGCCTCTTTTTCCAGAAGAGCTCTGCTCTGTCCTTGAATTGGCCATAAATGTGGACAATTCTCTGTTAAAGCTCTTCACATAGGTGGCTGCAACTGAATTTCATGAAAAGAAATTGCAAACTTTAAATAAGAAGTGAATGTAGACATATTTCTCCTGAGCCCACCATCAACTGCTTTGGACAGCCCTGCGTTTCAGAGGTTTTGAGGGAAAAAACTGGGATGTATTGCCATATGAGTTGTAGGTACACGCAGTACTCTTTTTAGACTACTTTCAGGAAAGTTAATCATCATTGACCTGCAGGTTATGCAACTCAGAGCTGCACTTTAAAAAAGGCAGCCGCACATGTCTTTTAAATAAATAAATACTTAAATACGCACATAAAGTTTCCCATCAGAAGTTCCCATTACTGAGGGAGAAGACAGAGCACCACAGTACTTACACACTTGAGCTCAACATCTGTGAAAATGAAAGGGAGCAGGAAGAGTCGAAGAGGGACAGTCAGAATGAGTATAAAAGGCAAGGCAAGGGAGGCTGGGCTGGATTTCACTCCCCACAGCAATCCTAGGCAGAGCATCTGGGTGAAGGTGAAGATGTGCATACGCCAGGTCTTTACCTTTGGGATGAAAGGAAAACAAGAATAGTTGGCAACATTAGCAGCTCTTTCCTTCAACCAATGGCCAGAATCAATACTGGCCTGGCAATGGCGTTTAATTTATATGTATGTGAGTACATGTGTATAACTGGCACACCATGCAAAAACATATTTGATTATTTTTTCTTGTTGCACTGTGTAAGTCCAGCCATTGAGATTTGTTAACCATAGTACATGGTCACACAATTATGTAAAAATTCATCTTTTATGTTTTGAGCATTTTTATATTCTTAGAACTGTAAGCCACCCAGAGACACTGGCTTAGATGGATGGTTGCAGAAACGGAATAACTAGATGAAATCCAACCATCAAAATTTCAACCACAAGGATAGTACAAATTATGGCTTAATCTGGTATGTGAATTTAGCCATTATGGGCTATGGCTTAATGTAGGTTTGAACTTTATTGTGGCTTATTCAAACGGCTAGGCTTAAACCAGGCATACCTCTCATGATCAAATCACTGTGAGCATTCATCTGTCAAACTCTGGCCCTCACACAACTCCAAGATCTCAGGCAGAAGCCTTTCCCAGGCCTACTATTGTAAATTAGATTGTGGCTTTTCCATATGCAAAGCATAGGCTTTATGACTCAGTTACCAACTTTCCTGGTCATATTTTGGTTTCCTGTGATCTTACAAGCACACTGAGCCATAAATTAGGTAGCCATTTTTTAGCCCATTAGCCCAATAGCCTGTTTTGCAAATTCAACTTTTGTGATTAATCAGGAAGAGTCAGATACATAAAATGACTTGAGTGATGTACAATGCATCTGATATAGTGAGCTGTAGCTCACAAAAACTCCTATGCTTTTTAATAATATTTGTTAATCAGAAAAGGATTCCTGATCATTTTGCTACTATTGACTAATACACTTTCCTCTTAAAATGCCTTTGTCATTAATTTATGATTCAGTGGCTGTATTTTTATGACACCTTTGTCCTATGATCAACTTAAAAATTCTGGCAGAGGTTTTACTTAAAAATTCTGGTTCCATAATACTCCAATTATAGCCTTCTAAATTGGAATACGGTTAGGCTCAAGCTTTGATACAGGAATCTATTATACTTCTGATCAAGCTTACATATGGTGTTGTAAATTGGCTAGAATCATTTAGGTGAGATGGGTGGTGTGGAAATTTAATAAACAAACAACAATAAATACTTCAATGCAGTAGGTAAACAAAGGTCAGAAAGAAGTATATATTTCCATTACTTCTTTGGCTTGTCTATAGACACTTCCACTCTTCCAACCCCGCCTATGATTTGAACCTGTCTATATAATCATTTTTATGCTTGCCAAACATTGAGAACAAGAAAGAAATTTCAACTTCCAGCCATCCAGTAGCAGAGGCTAAAAAAAATTGATTGCTGCTTTGCACCCTGAGCTACAGCTGTTCCTGGAACAATCAAAATTTATACCACATAAAAGTGTAGGAGTGAATAAATTGCTTCTCTCATCTCAGGTTTTCTAGCTCTTCACAAATACCTCCCATGAACATAGCCTCCCTCCCTCCCTCCCTCTCTCTCTCTCTCTTCCTTGAGAATTGTAAAGAAGGCATGACACCATGATTCTATAGCCAAGCTCTTTTTCCAACAGCTATACTTATGGTTATAGGGTTTTAGTGTAAAGCCTCTTAAATATGGGCATTAGGAGCCAGAGGTATAAGCCCACTTGCATCCATAGCAATAATTTTGATGTGGACTGTTTATCTAAGAAGGGGGAATCAGCACAAATAGGACCTTTTTTAAGTTACAAAGATAGTAAAACTAGCTAGAAACTGATAAGAAAGATCAAAATCTAGTTTATTGATATAACCATGAAAATTAACTTCAGATGGGAAGTGATAGGATAAAACAAGAGTTCCTGTAAATCGAAAAATGATTCACCTTGAAACTTTGCAGAATCCCCAAATTACAAATTGGAAAACAGTTTTCTATTTGCACCACAGCAAATGCAGAAGATGATCAGCATGGTTTCCCAAGGAGGAGAAGTAATATTAAACTCTATGTGGAAGTCATAGACAAGATCAGGGACTAATGTTTAGGGAGCAAACTTCTTGACCCATAGATTTATCTCACTTCAGCAAGCTCACAGCTCAAGAAAAATATTGTAGTTATGACTTCAAAGCTTACTTTTGTAACATAGGACACATCTGGATGGTATTTAGGTGGCTTCAGCAAAAGAAGTATGCGGTCATATAGTTGAATGCCATTGAGAGATGTTACCCCCATATAAAGAAAGATGCCAAAGAGTACTGCAAGTGGAATCAGCTTCAAGATGGGTTCCATGAGTATGGACAAGCCTGTAGGTAAGCAAAAGACAATACTCCAGATTAAAGATATTTAATTTTAAAATATTAATGTAATTAAAGATTATACAATGCAGATGAATCACCCCATTGGAATGGAACAATTGTAACATTATCCTTTCCAATCAGAGGAGATAAGGAAAGTAATCTTGCCTACCATTCTTACTCATATCAGTTGGGGACAAAAAGACATTCACAAACAGAGCACAAAGTCAGTAATCCTAGTGACTAGGCTCCAGTTTTGGCTTATCCAAGGTATATATTTCCCTGGAATGCGAAAGCTGTCCTTTTGCATATTGAGTTAAGCACTTATATGTTCATATATTCTAAAAACAATCACAACTTCTTGTAACAACAGTAGGAACAGGTAGATTGATATGATGGGAATAAGGAGTTTCTCAAAGCTCATATATCTATAACTTATAGTTCAATGTATGCACTGCAATTAAGCCTTAATGCAAATAATGCAAAGGAAGTTCAAGTCCTGTTACAGGTAATCCTTCACTTAGGATCACAACTGAGCCCAACATTTCTGTTGCTAAGCAAGACAGTTGTTAAGAGAGTTTTGCCCCATTTTACAGCCTTTCTTGCCACAGTTGTTAAGTAAATCACTTCAGTTGTTAAATTAGTAACACAGTTGTTAAATGAATCTGGTTTCCTTTCCTTTCCTTGACTTTGCTTGTCAGAAGGTTGTAAAAGGTGATCATATGATCCGGGGACACTGCAACTGTTATAAATACATGCCAATTGCAAAGAGTCTGAATTTAGATCACATTACCATGAGAATGTGAAAAATGTTCATGTCACGTTTTCAATGCTGTTGTAACTTTGTCTCTAAACAAATGGTTGTAAGTCAAGGACTACCTGTATCTGCATCTATTATTTTCTTTTTTTTTAAAGGCACATAATTTGTTCTTTAACCATTTTAAATATGAACAGGATGTGGGCTGTTTTAAGCTAATCCTTTGACAATCATTCAATATGTTGGTGATTACCTTTAAAGTCTTACATATCATAAGATTATTTGTGGAACTGCCTTCTCCCATGAACCTTTGCTCAACCCACACGATCCGTCAGTGACAGTACTCTGTTTTAAATCTTGTCATCTTATGGGGTCCTAAGAAATGTGCGTTTTTTGTATTTGCCCCTGATATATGGGATCATCTCCCACTATAACGAATACATGATAGGCCCCAACTCTGCTCGCCTTTAGGAAAGATCTTAAGATCCGGCACTTTCCTCAGTTATTAAGGGCTGGATGAGTGGGAGTTCCTCTTGTGTCTGTTTTGTTGTATGCTTGGTTGCCATATTACATTTACATTTTATATTGTTGTAGATGGGTTTCATTTTTTTTTAAAAAAATGGTTGTTTATGTTGCATGCTGATCAAAGTCACAATGTCTGAGTTGGACAGTCTTATAAAACTTGAAATAAATAAAAATAAAAATAAATACAATCAATTGAATATTTTGTAGAAAGACTCACCCACAAGAATAGCCACCAGGAAGCCAGTAACCCTCTGTTCCTTGACCTCCTGGATGCAGGCCTTTTCTCCTGGCAGAGTAGTCTTGGACATAACTGTCAGAGCATTAGCATGAGTGACAGTCCTCACTGTGGTGGCACTCAGCCAGGGCATGCCCAAAAGTGGTGCGATACCTCCCATTCCAACAATAAGAAGGAGGTCGAGATGGAAACCTGAACCCTTCAGCATCTTCCTCTCAGGTTTGCTTACAATCAGCCTGAAATAGCAGCAAAATTTGAACAGAATATTTGTTATTTTAATATTGTATAATAGATCTGACATCTCTGCTCTCTGGATCAACCAAAACATCTTTGTCAAACTTACATGCATATTTTAAAGTGGAATTGATATGAAATCAATGTGAAATTGGAACCACATAATCACCTATTTCTTATCTAAATCCAGGAGACATCTTGTATCCTGACTTCCTTTCGCCCCTCTTTATCTATTGCATGTCCTTTTGACATACTCTATCCCTGGGTCAATCATTACTTATCTTCATTTTATCACATCTTTTTCATCTTTCTCCAATTTCTTACGTGGTGATCTGTGTCTCCAAGAAGATGAGAATGAAAACTAGGAGAGCTGGCAAAGCTGTAGCAAACATCATCCATATGGGGAATGGATTTCCTAATGAAGAACCTAATGGATGGATAAACCAATTCCGTTGTTCAGGATTGGAGACTTGAAGGCCTTTGGGAACTTTCAATTTCTAGGAAAAGCAAAAAAAGTAGAGAAAAATCAATGGACTCTAGATCCGTTAGTATGTTGCTCATCCCAGTAAGGAAAACAGGACCATTCATTTAACATAAGAAATCTTTTCCCTTCGGATATGGATCCCAAAAAGGAAGATTGGATGGGCTTTGTGAATTCCTTTTTGATTTTCAATTCACTATAATCCTACAAGATTTTCCGTTCACTACAAGACCTCTGATACAGTATAATAATTT